ACACCTAAGGGACTCACCCCAGACAAGGCCCGCTGCCCTTCCTCTCAGCAGCACACCTGCGCAAACCCCACTGCTTCCTGCATCCCATGTGCTGGGGTCTGGCCGTCCTGCAGGCACCACGCCGGGCAAGGGGAATTTTTGGTTTGGTGTTGTGTATTTCCAAGAGAATTTTTCAGAGACTTTAGTACACAAGCACCTGGAGCATAATATCTTACATGTTAAAAATGTAGTACTAGGGCTGAGAAGTTGGCTCAGTGGTAGAGTGCTTGCTTTGCATGCATGAGCCCCTGCTTTGATTACTCAGAATCACATGAGCAAAAAAAGCCAGAAGTGGTGCTGTGCCTCAAGTGGAAGGACATTGAGGGACATCGCCCAGGCACAGAGATCAGCTCCCACAAATGACAAAAAAAAAACTTACTAGACACCTAGTTGGTGGTGGCTCAGATCTTTAATCCAGGACACTTAGTAGGCTGAGATCTAAGGAATGAAATTGGAAGCCAATCAGGACTGGAAAGTCCCTGGACTCTCATATCCAATTAACCATCAAAACCCACAAGTGCTGCAGTGGATCAAGTGGTAGAGCATTAACCATGGGCAAAAATGCTCAGTGATAGTCTCCACTCTCTGAATTCAAGCCCCAACACTGGCACAAACACAAATTGGTCTGGGTTTTGTGATTGTTTAGTTTTGTTTGTCCACCAGTCTTGGGGCTTGAACTCAGGGCCTGGGATTTATTACTGAGTCTCTCTGTGCTCAAGGCTACATCTCTACCACTTGAGCCCCAGCACCACTTCTAGTTTTCTGATGTTTTGGAGATAAGTGTCTCATGGACTTTCCTGCCCAGGCTGGCTTGGAACCATAATTCTCAGATCTCTGCCTTGCAAGTAGCTACTATTATAGAAATTAGCCACCAGGGCCCAGAAATGCCTAATTTACCAAAAGCTCAAAATTTTTGGAAATGAAAAAAAAAAAAACCATTTTGTAAGGTGCCATTGGGTCAGGGCTTTAATCATATTTATTTAAGAGAACAGGAACTCAGAAACTGTTTAGAGCCAGTTCAGGCAGAAAGCCTATGAGTCTCTGACTTCCAATTGACTATCAAGAAAACTGGGAGTGATCTATGGGAAAAGTGATGGAGCCCTAACCTTGAGCAAAAACACTCCAAGACAGCACCCAGTCCTTCAGCTCAAATCCCTGGATGAAAAAAAGAAACAACTCATTTTTTAAAAAAAAAGCAGTTTTATTTCAAATATAAGTTCATTTCCAACCTAGTGTCTTGTGAGTCTCATTGTTACAAAGGGTAAATAAGTTTTTTTGGGTTTTTTTTTTTTGGGGGGGGGGAGTGGTCTGGTCATGGGGCCTGCACTCTGGGCCTGGGTGCTGTCCCTCAGCTCTGCAGCTCAAGACTAGTGCTCTACCACTTGAGCCACAGCGCCACTTCCGGCTTTTTTCTTCTTGCTAATGTGTTGCTGACGAATTGAACCCAGGGCATTATGGATGCAAAGCAAGCGCTCTACCACTGAGCCACCTTCCCAGCCCCCAATGGGTCAATTTGTTATACCCCTTCCACTCCAGATATTAGATAAACGTATATACAAGATGCAAGGTACCAAAATCAAATACAGTGACAACAGGGATGTACCATGCAAAGAAAACAAAGAAAAAAAGCCCATGGTACATTAAAAATGACAACAAAGAAAAACCCCTTGTGTCCATATCTTGGCACTCATTTTGCATAGCATCATTGTTGTTGTTGTTGTTGGTACACTTTTGTTAATTTCAGATTACAAATTCACTAGGATTTTCAATCCCGGTATTTGTTTTTGTTTTTTCAACTCACTCTGGCACCCAGCCCAGTCACCCCAATGTCAACCCTGAACCTCTGAGTGGGCATTCCCAGCACACCAACCACCAAAGCCAGCTATGCATGTGATGGACTTTCCTTACACGGCTCCCCCGCGGTACTGATCTCAAACCGCAGTGAAGCCCCAGGAGAAATGAACATCTTCCCACCAGCCCAAGGGTCGTGGCTCCCTTCCTTCCAGCTCACTCTCATCCACAACTGCACTGTCAGGCTAAAGAGCCGGCTTGGGCAGGAAAGTCTGTGAGGCTTCTATCTCCAGAAAACCAACAGAAATCTGGAGGCAGAACTGTGATCCAAGTGGTAGAGTGGCAGCCCTGAGGAGGGGAAAGGAGGGGGGAGAGTCAGGGAGGACACCAAGGCCTTGAGTTCAAGTCCCAGCACTGGCACACACATACATTACAAGAGGGAATAACAAGGCGGGAAAGCTAAGGCATTCGATGACCCTTACTGGCAATACACCACCATCACCCCGAAACACTAACCGGACCCCAGGGAAGCCGTTCCTCCAAACCTCCGTGTCCCCTCCAGACCAGCCAGACACCTAAGGGACTCACCTCAGACAAAGCCCGCCGCCCTTCCTCCCAGCAGCACACCTGCGCAAATCCCACTGCTTCCTGCACCCCGTGTGCTGGGGTCTGGCTGTCCTGCAGGCTCCACGCCGGGCAAGGCACGGGAGGATCCGCTGCCCGGCCTGACAGCAACCATGGCGGAGCCAGGCGCCAAAAGACCGCGGAGGCCGCACGGGGCGGCACAGCCAGGCCCCAGCCCCAGAAAGGACGTCCACAAGTTCCCGCTGCACACAAGGCCTTGCGGGCTTTCCTGAGAGGCCTCCCTTCCCCACGGCTGCCCTTCCTCATCGCTTCCCCCAGGACAGCACCTCAGCGCCAACTTCTCTGCTCCAGACCCCTGTCTCTCCCAGAAGCTGCAATGGCGGTCCCGGAGGGGCTGGATTGCCAGTCTGAGCACGCGCACCAGCCGTCCTCCCACTGCGCATGTCCATGTGCTGCTCCAGAGGGGCTCAGGCCTGGTCTCAAAATCTAAGGCCCTGGAGTTAAGAGTCCCTGAAACTCAGAACCCAGATTCCTAAATCACAAAGATCACAGGCCTGTGCCTCAGATGGCCAGCTCACAGCCCCTTTTTCATAGAGTTTGCTGAATTTCCTTATGTTCACTTTATAGATACACACACATACACACACACACTCAAATATATATTAATCTATTTTTAATCAATGGTATATTTACACACAACTATAAGCATTTTTGCTCAAGAATGTTTTAGTACGCAGGTATTATTCTGTGACTTGGGACTTGCCCTGGGCTCTTTGTTTACAATTATTTTTCAGACCAACTGTTGAGTTTTGGCCTCCGGCTGGTATTCAATTTCAAGTTCCTCATTTCTGTCTTCCCAGTAGCTCTCATTGATTAGAAGTGCGCAGCTCTACCACCAGATTAACAAAACAACAATTATATAAATAGAATAGTTCTTGAAACACCAGTAGAAATGCAGAAGTCATGTACCCTATCTCGGAGGTATGCAGGATGGAGAGCTAACATTTTATATAAACTTGAATCCCTAGACTCAGATTGTAAAACTAATTGTGTTGTACTTCAGTAGCTTGTATATGTCTGGATTCCAGACACAATCAACAAGAAACAAAACTCCAGGATCTTCAATTGTCTCAGGCTGACAAAATTCTTGTCTTGTCACATTGAAGTCAGGCTTCAAACCTTTGCTATGAAACATTCATGTGATTTCTTAGAAAATCAGGTTTAAAAAAGATTCCCTGACTGGATGCTGTGGATCTCGCCTGTACTGGTAGCTAGTCGGGAGTCTAAATCTGAGGATCATGGTTCAAAGCCACATCACTCAGGAAAGTCCATGAGACTCTTCTCTCCAATTAAGCACCAAAAAATGGAAGGGGAGCTGTGACTCTAAGTGGAAGAGCATTAGCCTTGTGCAAAAAAAGCTCAGAGACAGTGCCCACAACATGAGTTCAAACTCCACAACCAAACAGAGAGAGGAAAAGCGAGAGACAGAGACAGACAGAAAAAGAGCCGAGAGACAGAGAGAGACAGAAACAGACAGAGATTGACAGAAATAGAGACAGAGACAGACAAACACAGAAAGAGACAGGAAGACTGAGAAATCACTGACAACTCCATTTAGAAAAATGTATATGGATATCTAAGATGTATATCCTGTTCTTCCACAATTCAGTACAGAGTACCACCTCATCCTGATCCACATTTGGCTACCTGGAATCTATTTGGTGTTTCATAAATTATTCCACATGCTCCCATAGAACATAAACAGGCCCACACCTACTTACCAATTGTTTATAAGTCTGGGCTTTTTGCTTATATATGTAATATTCCCATTTGTATGCTTTTGTTTCCATGGTTTAAAGCTACAATTGACCACATTTCATGTCTAGATGTTTCATCTTTTGTGCCAGTAGAGGAATTTCAACTCAGGGCCTTGAGCTATTGCGTATTTTTTGATCAATGCTTAAAGATGTAACTTGAGCCATGCTATGAGTTCCTGACTTTTGCTGGCTCATTGGAGAAGTCTTTCAGAGTTGTCTACAGGGGCTGATTTGAACCTTGAGGAAGTATAGGGCATTCTTGAAGCTACAATTATTGAGATGGGCCAGGACACCTGGCATGTCTTTGTCCCTCTGGCTAAGTCTTCTGTCTTCTATTGATGATGGCTTTTACCTATTTCCTATGTATTTTGTCAAATACTTTTCCCCCAAAGTAAATTTTTGGTGGTATTTGGAGGTGAAATGTCCTTACATATTTGCACAGAGTAAAATGGGGGTGTGTACTGACTTGAATTCACTAATGGAAGAAAGTCCCCCGTACAGAACATTTAGTCTGGCATTTGTCTCAAGAGACAGAACAACTTTGAAGGACATCTGGTTTGCTATGTCCTAGAGCTTTAGTAGTGGCCTGATCACCCCATGCAGGCATGGGTTGGGTTCCTTGCCCCTCATAGTGCACTGAACACTTCCCTTCATAGCCAGTAAGTGTTGTTGGACAGTTCCAGGTCACTCTTTTGCCTTTACTCAGGACTCATGTGTCTGGGACATCAGAATGTATAAGAAAACAAACCAGAGCATTTAGAAACCATACATTGTACAACATAAACATATACATTTAATAAATTAAGAAGAATAAAAAGAATGAACATTTTACAACAATCAGGACAAAAAGAAAAAGAGAGATATCCCCAGGGAGAGGGGAGGGAAGCTCTAAGGCTAGGTCGGCTTCTAAGTTGCCTTCAAACATAAATTCTGCCTCAGAATCCTCCAAAGTATCTAGCTCCTCATGAAAGATAGGATTTGCTCCAGCAAAGGCTGGAGAGGCAGATTCTAATTTCTCAGTTGGAGATTGGTTCTGCTGCAGCAGCACAGATTTGTCCAGATGTTCAGTGAGGACAGATTCACTTTCCTGAGCTGCATCTAATGTTGGGACCTCACTCATTGGTTCCCCTGAGCACAGACTGGGGACATTTTCCATCAGTCCCACGTGTACTACTCCCTCCAGCACGCCAGGAGGATTGCTGATTTGACCCTTTTTGAGCTGATCTGGGCTGCCTGTGAAAGTCACAGGAAGACAATCACTATTACCTTCTTCTTTCTTTGGGGTCCCTACAAGTTCAGCTCTCTTACATGTGGGCTTCAGAACCACTGTCTTATCCACAGGACTCACAACCTTTTGGGGCCTCACTGCAAATGCATCCAACCCCTCTACATGCACATGCATTGTGTAGTCCAGTGATGGCTCCAGATCCCCATCCATCACCATCCTTGACATCCCCGAGGGCTTCTTCCTTGGGAGGTCAGGAGAAGCGGCTCTATGGCGGCCAAAGCCTGAGAAACAGAAATAGGTAAAGGAGTTTGAGAGTGGATTCTGGATGTTCAGGTGGAATTCAATTTCCATGAGTCTCTAATGGAGGAACCTGTACAAGGTTACTTTGGACTGAACACTGATGAGAAGGTAAGGTCTTTCCCAAGAGTGGCTAAGCACAAGTGCTTTCACCAATAGAACCAACACTGCCTGGCACATAGTATCATAAAAAGACATTCTTACAACCTGGGGGGTAATAAGGGCTCTCAGGCAATTAGGCGCATCCCTAGAGGCCCAGGCGCCATCCCTACTCACAAGCTCTGAGGTGACCACACAGGGACTTCTTCCTCTGTTTCTTGGTCTCATTCTTCCCGCTCTCCTCCAGCTCATCCAGATGAACGTGGACATTGAGGACCAGATCTGAGGAGGGCATGTGGAGCATGGCATAGTGGGTAAGTTCTTTCACCGGGTGTTGGTTCTGGGGCTCTCGGAAATCTGCAGGATAGCAGTCCATCCACATGGTGAAGATGGAACAAAGGGTGCTGTGGGCAGATTGGTGACAAGAAGAGTGAGTGCCTGCCCTCCCTATCCTGGCCCTCCCATAGCCCCTTTCTGCAAGGCTGCTATATGCACACTTGCATGCTGGGAAGCAGGAGGAGACTCCTGCAGGCAGAATGATCTTCACCAGCCATGACTAGAAGCTTCTGAAAGATAATTCTACAATATTCTCACTGTGATAGGTCACAAGAAGGAACTGATTTTGAACACACAGCCCTCCCTGTCATCCCTGAGAGTCCACAACCACACCACAGCTGTGTCCTCTGCCACCGCTCCAACCCCAACCCTCTGCCATAGTGGAAAGCACAAGTGATGTGCAAATGAGAAATCTGCACTTTGAATCAGAAGCCTCAAAGATACCATTTTGATGAAGGGGCCTTTTCTTTGTGCCACAGTCCACTTACTTCTTTATTTGTTCATCTTCCTCAGAGTTACTGCCCGGTAATCTGTACCTATGGGAGGACAGGAGGAAGTAAAATCCCAGCTTCTCCTTTTCTGCCCACACAGGACACATATGGGATGGGCTCATTCCCAGATGGGAATGGAATCTGACACATAAATAAGTAAGATACAGTTCAGTGAAAATTCTGCTAAGAGACTTATATGCATTGGTCCAAGGTAAATGTGACAGTGCTCATGCCTCTAATCCTAGCTAATCAGGAGCATGAGATGTCAGGTGCACAGTCTGATCAGACATTAGTCAGTAAAAGTCTAAGGACATTAATTTTTAAAAGGCCAGAATTGCACCTATGGTTCAAATGCTGTAGTGGTAGCTCTGAGCACCAAAGAAACAGCACTCAGGCCCCGAGTTCAGGTTGCAGAACTGGCACACACACAAAAACATAAAAGCTTCAGGGGTAATAAATATGTAAAGCCAACATAATGCCTCCCTGAAATCTCTGAGTTGATTCAGCCTCCAGTTCACCCACCTCCCCACACCCCAGCCTTTCCTGGGTCTACATTATTCACAGACATCCAATTTGTAATGAAACCTTATTTACTCATGGGAAATGTGATTTCCTAGAACCTCACCTAGGGGAGGGCAGAAGTCGTGTGCCATGGGCACATGCCTGTAATCCTAGCCCCTCAGTAAGAAAGCTTCTGAGGTTACAGTAGCTTTTCTGGGAAATGTCCTGGGCAGACCACTACTAAGAAACTACGCAGGGTATGCACTTTCTTGTCTCATGCCAAGCTCCTGTGAGAAGACCCCCATGAAATCAACAGGTTCAGAGGGGTGCCAAATATTCCACAACTCAGCCAGGCATAGCTGAACCGCCCCGGTTATGAAGGGGGAACACTCACTTTTTGAACACAATATCCAGCACTTGCTCCATTGTTGCCCACTGTCTATAATTGTGGAGGAAGTTTCCAACATAGAAGAGATCGCCTTTCTGGTAGGCTGGGACCAGGTTCATCACCAGCATGTCCAGCAGGCTTGCCTCCGGGCTCCATATATCGCATGGCACATTCAGGGTCAGGGCTGACGTATTAGCACACTAAGGCAAGACAAAGAATCAGAAAAAAACCATGGAAATGAGAACACTTCCAAATGAGTAATTGTGATAGAGTAGATTGAAAACTATGCAGACAGTATTATCTCAGTAAACCTAAATCACATAAGAAGGTTCTACTGTGGACCAGGTTGGGGTTAAGTAGGTTTTCTATCATGAGTATACCTTGCCTGAGATGCCTTGTGATTTCCTAGGTTTCTTTTTGGACAAATCTCTGAGATGGTTGCTTCGTGGCTTGCCACTGATCCAGTGTCTACAGCTTTGACTGAGGCACCCATCCTTCTCTTGGCTGAGACCAGAGTCTCGAGACCTGCGAATACAGCACAAGAACATGTTTCTGGCTCCGGAGTCACAGGCCAAGTGAGCTGGCTTGAGCCAACTGTGAGTTACCGTGGTCTGCTATCAGGGTTCCATGTTCTATTCCATTGTGAAGGAGGCAGGGTCACCTGTCAGGCCCAATGACCTCTGCCGCTTCCTCACACAAGAAATATTCCCATCCACCCTATATTGCAATGTGTACATGTAGACAAGTTAACAGCACACCTTGTTTGTCCAATCCTAATCTGCTAGTCCTAGGTTCTGGCATGTTCTCTGCTTCCAGGAGTCACTCCTAGGTCACATTCATGGCATATCTGTCACTATTCCTCTTATCTGGCTCAAATTATTTTGGCTCTCAGGGTCTTCTGTGACTGCCACATCCTTCTAGCACATATTTTGACAGCAACATCCTAGGTCACTGTTTACTTTCTGTAGCCTAATCTGTTTGTCCTTGGAACCCCTCTCTGGTGTCATCTGGAGCCAATGCAAATGCTTAGAGATGGGAAATTGAAAGGAATATTGGAAAACATACATTACATATATAATTAGCCTTTATTACAGGTGACTATTTGTTTGGCCATTTCTGTGGCTTCACTTCAGCCTGGGCACTCCCCTGAGCTCTTTTGCTCATGGCTAGCACTCTACCACTGAGCCACCTTCCCAGCCACAGGTGTCCATTTTTGTAAGTGAGAAAATTATTTTTTATACTTGAAATATTTCATGGAGGCAAGCAGAGAAAGGAAGAGCTGCTGCATTGTCTTTTTATGATGACGAGGATTTGTTTTACTATAGCTTTGAAGGAATGTAGTATTTAAGGTAGAAAACTGCTCTTTTACGTCTTACAAGCTAATCGTTTATATAGTCATTTGCCTCTGAAGTCTTTGCTTCTGTGTCCCATGATCTATCCTCCTCCCTCAACACAAACGGGAAGAATTTCACACATTGCTGAGCTGTTGTCCAGTCTCTGCATAGGAACTGAAAATACAATATTTACTGTGGAGTGTGTGTGTGTGTGTGTGTGTGTGTGTGTGCGCATTTCTGATCTTGGACCCTTTGCGCTATCCCTGAGCAATGTTCCTCAAAACTAGTGCTTTACCACGAGACACAGGTCCACTTTGAGCTTTTTGTAGTCAACTGGAGATGAGAGATTCATGGAACTTTCCTACCCAGCATGGACATTGCTCCTCTTCAGCCTCATCGTTCCTCAACTGTGGCAATGGCTGTTCAGTTTCTGGATTTCCCATCCAAGCACAGACACAAGCCATCCTCCACTGCACATGTCTCTTTGTGTCCCTTGAGAGGCTCAAGTCTCTCTCGAAACTTAGTGCCCTGAGGATAGAACCTTTGAAACTCAGAACCAAGTTTCCTGATTAATTGGGATCACAGGCCTAAGCTATATATGAACAGCTCATTACCTGCCATCGCACATTTTTAGGGGGATAGGGGATTGTTTGTTGGGCTTGAACTCTGGCCCTGGACCCTGTCCCTCAGCTTTTCAGCTCAAAGCTAGGGCTTTACCACCTTGAGGCACAGTACCACTTCTGGTTTTCTGGTTGCTTATTGGGAGATCAGAGTCTCATGGATGTTCCTGCCTGGCTGACTTTCCGCTGTGATCCTCAGATCTCAGCCTCTCCAGTAGCTAGGATTATAGGCATGGGCCACCAGCGCCCAGCACATGACCCCTTTTTGCAACAGCATTTGGCGAATTTAACTATGTTGACTTGAGACAGATATACCTACACAATATATGGGAATCAATGGTATATCACTGAATTCCCAAATAATGTCTTTTACATTATTGTTTTGTGAAACAACATATTCGAGATCCATAATATCATATGCTAGTCCTCCTATAAAATACAAATACATGTATTATCATGTAGTATATGATATGATATATTTATATATATTATATTATATATAATATGTAAGTGATGTATATAGTGAACACAGAAAATAATACCAATTTTGGAATTTAGCCTTTCCTGTCACAATGTTACCCAAGTCTTCTGTTAGAAATACAGATTTTCCTCAACAATTTCCCTTGTTAGTCGTTTTTTAGTTCTTGAATAAATGAGTCTTCTTTACCACCAATAGTCTACACACAAAAATGATATGGATCAGTGTCTCTGGCTCAGGCCTGTATTCTTTGCTAGTCAGGAGGCTGAGATCTGAGGATCATGGTTCAAAACCAGCCAGGTCAGGAAATGCTATCAGATTATCTCCAGCTGTAGCTCAAAGTGGTAGAGTGCTAGCCTTGAGTGAAAGAACTCAGAGACAGTGGCCAGCTTTTAAGTTCAAGCACCACCATTCTGTACACACGCCCCCTACAAGCACACTCTTCACTCGGTCCCTTCTTAAATCCTCTGTCCTCTTCACTGAACTGGTGATTGCCAGAGTTTCTGGATTTCCCACTCCAGCATGCCAACCAGACATGTTCCCTCTGCACATGCACCTCTGCCACACTGCAGGGCCCAGGCCTCCTCTCAGAATCCACTGCCCTGGGATAGAGAGCAGATGAAATTCAAGGATTCTCAGAATGTGTGCTTCAAGACAGGGAGACTCAGAACTGTTCCTCACCTGGTATACAGAGACACATTGATCCATTTGTGTAGAACAATGCCAACATGGTTAGAATATAAGTTTTTGACTACCACAAACGACACCCTTTTCCAAATACTGTTAAATATTCCCTCAGATTTTCTTAAATGTTACATCAAAGTACATCTATTTACATGTTAGAGGTTGTAGCTTCTGATACAATGAACGGGAAAAGGCAGCCAAAATGACTTCTTACAGAGAAAAACGCCTAGCCCAAGTAAGCTAATATGTGCAGCAAGCTCATTTCCAGACCATTCTCCAAATGCAGGCATGAGTCTCTTATTGTGTCATCTTGATAACTTACAGTCCATATCCACCCTCATGCAGACTTAGAAAATCTTCATGGAAACCCAACGCAAGGAACATCTTAAGAACATAAAACAGCACCAAATATTTAATTCTAGCTTTAAACATTTATATGTTCTATATTTGCACAGTGCAGAATTGTTCATGGTTGGCAGAGAGCTTCAAACATCAACACATTTACCCGACTAGCTGGAAAGGGGAAGTTATCCCTAGAAAGAGGTGGGGGCTTGAGATTCAAGTGGGACCAGCTTTCAAAGACACCTGTTCTGATATAACACAGAGCTTTTGTGTCTCAGCATCAAGGGTCCTATCTCAGCATAGGCTGCATCCTCCACTGCCTGCATTCCTTGTGGCTCCCTCTAGTCACCTGTTCCTTGTAAATCCAGCAGATTTGTTCCCCAGATCCAGCACACTCTGCTTCCTCCCAATCAGGCCCCATGTGCCCAGGATATTAGATTGGAGGTAGAAAAGACCAGAGTATTTTGTATTCAAGAATTTTACAACATCATGTAAACATGGACATTTTAATACTGTTAAAACAATAAATAGTAAAACAGGCAAATGCCCAGAGAGGAGGGAGGCAAGGTCTAACACACACACACAAAAAGATTCCCTGACTGGACACTGTGGATCATGCCTGTACTGCTAGCTAGTCAGGAGTCTAAATGGGAGGATCATGGCTCATAGCCATATCTGGCAAGAAAGTCCTCTTCTGTCCAATCAACCACCAGAAAACTGGAAGGGGAGCTGTGACTCTAAGTTGAAGAGCATTAGCCTTGTGCAAAAAAAGTTCAGAGACAGGTCCCACAACATGAGTTCAAGCTCCACAACAAAACAGAAGAGAGGAAGAGACACAGAGAGAAAGAGAGAGAGGGAGAGAGAGAGAGAGAGGGAGAGAGAGACAGAGAGACAGAGACAGAGGCTGAGGCAGAGGCAGAGACAGAGACAGACAGAGACAGAGACAGACAGAAACAGAGACAGAAAGATAAACACAAGAAAACAGACAGGAAGACTGAGAAATCCCTTACCACTCCAATTAGAAAGTGAATATGCATATCAAAGATGTATTTCCTATTCTTCCACAATTCACTACATAGTACCACATCATCCTGATCCACATTTGGCTAACTAGAATCTATTTGGAGTTTCATAAATCATTCTACACGCTGCCATAGAACATGAACAGGCCCACACCTACTCACCAATGGTTTGTAAGTCTGGCCTTTTTGCTTAAATATGTAATTTTCCCATTCGTATGTTTTTCTGTTTCCATCGTTTCAAGCTACCATTGCCCACATTTCATGTCTAGATGTCTTCATCTTTTGTGCCAGTAGTGGAATTTGAACTCAGGACATTGAGCTCTTGCTTCCTTTTTGTTCCATTCTGAAACATGTAACTTCAGCCATGCTAGGACTTCTTGACTTTTGCTGGCTCATTGGATAAGTCTTTCAGATTTGTCTACAGGGGCTGATTTGAAGCTCCATCCTGAGGAAGTATAGAGCACTCTTGAAACTAGAATTATTGACATGGGCCAGGACACCTGGCATGTCTTTGTCGCTCTGAATAAGTTTTCTTTCTTCTATTGATGATGGCTTTTACCTATTTCCCATGTATTTTGTCAAATACTTTTCCCTCAAAGTAGCTTTTTGATGTTATTTTGAGGTGAAATGTTCTTACATATTTGCAGAGAGCAAAATAGGGGTGCGTACTGACTTGACTACACTAATGGAAGAAAGTCCCCCATTTAGTACATTTAGTCTGACAGAACAACTTTCAAGGACATCTGGTTTGCTATGTCCTAGAGCTTTAGTAGTGGCCTGATCACCCCATGCAGGCATGGGCTGGGTTCCTTGCCCCTCACAGTGCACTGAACACTTCCCTCTATAGCCAGTGAATGCTCTTGTACAGCTCCAGGTCACTCTGTCTTTTGCCCTTACTCAGGACACATGTGTCTGGGACATCAGAATGTACATTAAAGAACCCACAGTATTTAGGATCTATAAATTGTACAACATAAACATACATCTTAATGAATTTAGAAGAATAAAAAGAATGAACATTTTACAACAATCAGGAGAAAAAGAAAAGAGAGATATCCCCAGGGAGAGGGGAGGGAAGCTCTAAGTCTAGGCCGGCTTGTAAGTTGCCTTCAGACATAAATTCTACCTCAGAATCCTCCAAGGGATCTACCTCCTCATGAAAGATAGGATTTGCTCCTGGAGTTGAGAGAGAGGCAGATTCTAATTTCTCAGTTGGAGATTGGCTCTCCTGCAGCAGGACAGATTTGTCCTGATGTTCTGTGAGGACAGATTCACTTTCCTGAGCTGCATCTAATGTTGGGACCTCACTCATTGGTTCCCCTGAACACAGACTGGGGACATTTTCCATCATCCCCACGTGTGCTACTCCCTCCAGCACACCAGGAGGCGTGCTCATTTGACCCTTTTTGAGCTGATCTGGGCCGCCTGTGAAAGTCACAGGAAGACAATCACTATTACCTTCTTCTTTCTTTGGGGTCCCTACAGGTGCAGCTCTGTCACATACGGGGTTCAGAACCAGTGGCATATCCACAGGACTCACAACCCGTTGGGGCCTCACTGCAAATGCATCCAACCCCTCTACATGCACATGCTTTGTGGAGTCCAGCGAGGGCTCCAGATCTCCATCCATCACCATCCCTGACATCACCGAGGGCTTCTTTCTTGGGAGGTCAGGAGAAACTGCTCTATGGTGGCCAAAGCCTGAGAAAGAGAAATATGTAAAGGAGTTTGACAGTGGTCTCTGGATGTTCAGGTGAAGTTCAATTTCCATGAGGCTCTAATGGAGGAAGCTGTACAAGTTTACTTTGGACTGAACACTGATGAGAAGGCAAGGTATTTCCAAAGAGTGGCTAAGCTCAAATCCTTTCACCAATAGAACAAACTGTCTGGCCCAGAGTATCATACAAAGATATTCTTACAACCTGGGGGGTAATAAGGGCTCTCAGGCAATTAGGATCACTCCTAGAGGCCCAGGCGCCATCCCTACTCACACGTTCTGAGGTGACCACACAGGGACTTCTTCCTCTGTTTCTTGGTCTCATTCTTCCTGGTCTCCTCCAGCTCATTCAGGAGAATGTGGAGGTGGAGGAGCAGGTCCGAGGAGGGCATGCGGAGCATGGCATAGTGGGTCAGTTCTTTCTCCGGGTGTCGGTTCTAGGGCTCTCGAAAATCAGCAGGATAGCAGTCCATCCACATGGTGAAGATGGAACAAAGGCTGCTGTGGGCAGATTGGTGACAAGAAGAGTGAGTGCCTGCCCTCCCTATCCTGGGCCTCCCATAGCCCCTTTCTGCAAGCACTGCTATATGGACTCTTGCATGTTGGGAAGCAGGAGCCGACTCCTGCAGGCAAGGTCATCTTTACCACCCAGGTCTAGAAGCTTCTGAAAGATAATTCTCCAATATTCTCACTGTGATAGGTAACAAGAAGGAACTGATTTTGTACACACAGCCCTCCCTGTCATCCCTGAGAGTCCACAACCACACCACAGCTGTGTCCTCTGCCACCACTCCAATCCCAAGCCTCTGCCCCTAGTGGAAAGCACAAGTGGTGTGCAAATGAGAAATCTGCACTTTCAATCAGAAGCCTCAAAGATACCATTTTGAACGAAGGGGCCTTTTCTTTGTGCCACAGTCCACTTACTTCTTTACTTGTTCATCTTCCTCGGAGTTAGCGCCCGGGAATCTGTACCTATGGGAGGACAGGAGGAAGTCACCTCTCAGCTTCTCCTTTTCTGCCCACACAGGACACATATGGGATGGGCTCACTCCCAGATGGGAATGGAATCTGACACATACACAAGTGAGATATGTCTATACAGTTCAGTGAAAAATATTCTATGAGAGGTATATGTATTTGGTCCAAGGAAAATGTGCCAGTGGCTAATTCCTCAAATTCTGGCTCATCAGGAGCATGAGATCTCAGGTGCACAGTCTGATCAGACATTAGTCAGTAAAAGTCTAAAGACACTAATTTTTCAAAGACCAGAATAGCACCTATGGTTCAAATGCTGTAGTGGTATCTCTGAGCACCAAAGAAACAGCAATCAGGCCCTGAGTTCAGGTTGCAGGACTGGCACACACACAAAATCATAAAAGCTTCAGGGGTTATAAATATGTAAAGCCAACATAATCCCTCCCTGAGGTCTGTGATTCAGCCTCCAGTTCACCTGCCTCCCCCACACCCCAGCCTTTCCTGGGTCTACATTATTCACAGACATTCAATTCCCAATGAAACCTTATTTACTCATGGGAAATGTGATTTCCTAGAACCTCACCTAGGTGAGGGCAGAAGTTGGGTGCCAGTGGCACATGCCTGTAATAACAGCCCCTCAGTAAGCAAGCTTCTGAGGTTCCAGTAGCTTTTCTGGGAAATGTCCTGGGCAGACCACTACTAAGAAAGTAGGCAGGGGGTGCACTTCTTTGTCTCATGCCAAGCTCCTATGAGAAGACCCCCATGAAATCAACAGGTTCAGAGGGGTGCCAAGTATGCCACAACTCAGCAAGGAGGGGCTGAACAGACCAAGATGCGAAGGAAGGGGGAACACTCACTTTTTGAACACAATAGCCAGCACTTGCTCCATTGTCCCCCACTGTCTATAATTGTGGAGGAAGTTTCCAATACAGAAGAGATCGCCTCTCTGGTAGGCAGGAACCAGGTTCATCACCAGCATGTCCAGCAGGCCTGCCTCCGGGCTTCATACATTGCATGGCACATTCAGGGTCAGGCCTGACTCATTGGCACACTAAGGTAGGAAAAAGAATCAGAAAAAATGATGGAAATGAGAACACTTCCAAATGAGTAATTGTGATAGAATGGATTGAAATCTATGCAGAAAGCATTATCTCAGTATAGACAAATCACCTAAGAACGTTCTCCTGTGGACTGCATGAAGCCTTGGGTTTGATTCCTCAGTATCACATAAACAAAAAAAGTGTGAAGTGGTGCTGTGGCTCAAGTTTTAGAGGACTACCCTTGAGCAAATGAGGATCAGGGACAATGCCCAGGCCCTGAGTTCAAGCCCCCAGGACCAGCAAAAAAGAAAAAAAAAAAATCCAGGGCTGATGACAATAGCACCTCCCTGTGAGAATACAAGATTCTTTCCAACCCTCCTAGATGGGGAGAAAGTAAGTCACAAGTGAAAAGAGGGCAGGGAAAAGAGGAAGGCCAGGAGGGAATTTTTAATGCATTACCTGTGTTAATGACTTTTGGGATAGGATCGATTTCTTCATCTACAATGAATGGCTCTGGCCTGGGGAAGACCTGGACGTCAGCGGTCAGGTGGCCACACTTGAGCACAGCATGGAAAGGCGTATATGCCAGGTCTATCAGCTTTCTAGAAGATGATCATGACTTGTTAAGGGAGGAAGAGTTCACATGTGGTACACATAAAAGGACTGTACACATGAAAGTAACATTTCAAGATGTAAAGCTGGTTAAACCTTCGCACTGATTCCAAAACTAAATATACTTGTGAAATGGAAAACATTTTGATGTTTTTAAAGAGGAAATTTCAATTGAGAGAGAAACCCCAGAGCAAGTTAAACTTGGGAACAGCTGAGTCTTTTTAAAGCATGACCACCTTATTTTACCTGAAAAACGGGCAACTGTGAAAAAATAAAAAACTGTTAGAAATAATACAGTAACTGAGAGGTTGCCGAAATAGCTCAGTTGGGAGAACGTTAGACTGAAGAAATAATACAGTAACTGTTCTTCTTGGTTGTCAAATTACAATATCAGATTGTAAAGAAGCCCCCACCCCCCACCCCTCAAAAAACAACTTTAAAGCATATACTCACCCAAACATAGACTGCACGTTTTTCAAGCACAGGGGACCATCAATAGTAAAAATTTGCCCTTCACCGTTGTTGAGGTGTATGAGACGTTCAAGGCATTCCAGGGAATCGGTGCTCTGAAGCTACAAAGCAAGAGAGGACACCTTTAAAGTAGAACAAATCACTACATCACTACCAGCACACCAAGGCCACAGCCACTGTAACAAAATGGGCAATAAACGGTTTGTTTGGTTTGTTCTTTTGGTTCTGGTACTGGGGCTTAAACTCAAGGCCTTACACTTTTTTTTTTTGTCAGTTGCAGGGGTTTAACTCAGGGCTTGAATGCTGTCCCTGAGCCTCTATGTATTCAAAGCTAGTGCTCTACCACTTCAGCCTAGAGCTACTTCCAGTTTTTTTGAGTGGTTATTTGGAGATAAGAGTCTCAAGACTCAAGTCTCAAGTGGAGCCACAGCTCCACTTCCAGTTTTTTTGGTAGTTTTGGTAGATAAGAGTCTCACGGACTTTCCTGCCCAGGCTGGCTTTGAACCATGATCTTCAGATCTCAGCCTCCTGAGTAGCTAGGATTACGGGTGTTGAGTCCGTGAGATGATTTTCTTAACAGTCAATATCAGAAGGAAGTAACTACAGGGGCTGGGAAGGTGGCTCAGTGGTAGAGCGCTTGCCTTGCATGCATGAGGCCCTGGGTTCAATTCCTCAGCACCACATAAGCAAAAAGAAAAAAGCCAGAAGTGGTGCTGTGGCTCAAGTGGTAGAGCGCTAGCCTTGAGCTGAAGAGCTGAGGGTCAGCACCCAGGCCCAGAGTTTAGGCCCCACGACCGGACCCCCCCCCCAAAAAAAATACAAATAAAGAAGGAAGTAACACAACAATTGTTCTGTGTGTGTGCCAGTTCCTGGGCTCAATTCCAGAGCCTAGGTGCTGTCCTTGAGCTTTTTGCTCAAGGCTAGCACTCTACCATTTGAGCCACAACTCCACTTCCAGATTTTTTTGTAATTTAGTGGAGATACTGAGTCTCATGGACTTTCTTACCTCAACTATTGCAATCTGCCTCAAGGTTACAAGAGGTACTTCATTCATAAGTAGTTCTGCAGATTCTCAGGAGACCACAGTTAGTAGCCATACAGCATCTTCCCTACAACCTCTTCCTGACATGGTTTGTCAAGAGCCATCAATTATCAGCATTTTAGAGAGAGAAAAACTGAGGTAAAGTGAAATAATTCCTGACTCAATGGGAAAAGCAGGAAGTATTTAATAAAACACATCAGAAGCCAGGTGCTGGTGGCTCATGCCTGTAATCATAGCTACTCAGGAGGTTGAGAGCTGAGGATGGCAGTTTGAAGCCAAGCCTGAGTAGTAAAATCTGTGATCTTCAGCTCCACTAAACTACCAAAAAAGCCAGAAGTGGAGCTGTGGCTCAAAATGGTAGAGTGCTAGTCTTGAGCAAAAAGCTCAGGGACAGCATCCAGGCTTTGATTTTAAGCCCCAATCCCAGCACCACAACAAACAAACAAAAAGACTTATGTTCCCCCCTTCCAAAAAAAGCCCCCCCCAAAACAAAAAAAAACTAAAGTATACCTCTGTCAACATTTCTGGAGGAATGGACAGAAAAAAAAGAACATCTCAAGCCTTCATGGTCATCAGCAGAATGGGCATCCCCAGCTATACTCTCGGAGAGGTGAGTGTTGTTATGTCAAAGAGCATGTGAAATCAAGTCTTTTCAAATCTAAATGTTATACCGTACGCAAGAGTGTTCATTGAATATACTGACAAATAAACCGAGCCCTGGGATTTACCTAACCCATCTAAAAAGCAGTTAGCAGAAGGTATTACCTCTTCCAGGTTTGCCATGCACATGATGTATAACTTAGACGGGAAAGGGAAAGGCAGCGGGAACCTGTTGCTGTCGCTCCTTTGATTGTGTGTCGCTAGGGAATGTCGCAGGGACCCTCTACCAATGCCGAGACAGCCGTCCGTCTCCAGAATGACCTGTGTGCAGAGGACAAGTATCCATTAAGCCACATGCCCAACAGCTCCACCCAGGTTTGCTTTCACTGCTACAGGAATGTGCAGGGAGCTTTGTGGGGTGATGGGTATGTTCTAGGTCTTAATTGGAGTAAGGATATACATACATGCTTCCATTTGTGAAAATCTAGCAAACTGTGTGATTTATTTGTTTGTTTATGTGCTGGTCTTGGGGCTGGAACTCAGCGCCTGGGCTCTATTTGTGAACTATTTTGCTCAAGACTGGTGTTCTTCCACTAGAGCCACACCTCTACTTTTGCCTTTTTACTGGTTAGCTGGAGATAAAAGTCTCACAGACTTTCCTGCCCAGGCTAGCATCAAACCATGATCTTCAGATCTCTGCCTCTTGAGTAGGTAGGATTACAAGCATGAGCCCCTGGTGCCTGGCTTATTGTTTTTAATTGTCTTTTTTTTCTCTTGGCAGTCATGGTACTTGAACTCAGGGCCTGGGTGCTATCCCTGAGCTCTTTTTGCTCAAGGCTCGCACTCTACCACTTTGAGTCACAATTTCACTTCTGGTTTTCTGATGGTTAATTAGAGATAAGAGCCTCATAGACTTTCTTGCTGGGCTGACTTTGAACATGGATCCTCAGATCTCAGCCTTCTAAGTAACTTGGATTATACATGGGAGCCACTGGCCCCCAGCTAAAATTATCTTTAACTAGTTATACCACAGGGTTTTAATTCAATGTCAACTGATATGTAGAATACACTTTGATCAGTGTCAACCTTTCTATCATTTTTCCATGTACTCCAAACTTACCCATCTGAAGTTTTCTAGTCCCAGTTTCAATATGTACATTGAATATTATGACCGTTTTTGTCCACCATTCTTTCTCTCTCTCTCTGCTCTCCTTAACATCCATCCTCATAGACAAGACCAAACCATGTATTTTGAACTTGTGCATTTAAAACAAAAATGCAGGTACTAGAGCTTGAACTCAGGGCCTGGGTACTGTCCCTTAGCTTTTCCTGCTCAAGGCTAGCACTCTCCCATTTGGCCCACAACTCTACTACCAACTTTTTAGTGTTTAACTGGAGATGAGAGTTTCCTCTTTCCTGCCTGGGTTGGCTTTGAATGGAGATCCTCAAATCCTAGTCTTCTGAGTGGCTAGGATTACAGGCATGAGCCACTGGTGTCCCACAAGAGCAAGTCTTTATGATTCTCTTCACTTTTTAGACAACTCAGTTGAGATGGTTAGAAATTTGCTGAATAACTGCTACACCGAGATAATGAAGAACAGACACTATTGTTCCGTGTTTACAATTCTACCACACAAAATTATAATCCGTCCTTTAGTGAATAGTTATAAATTCCACTGTGAGCCCTTTGTCTTTATATAAACAATATATATTTTCAGTACATCAATTTACCAGGAAAATACTTTCCTTGAGGCATAGGTCTGCTTTCTGAACACATTAGTATGACTTAAATTTGTGTGATACGATTACAGTGATTTAATGCCTTCTTTAAAAACTGTACAAATAGTGTAAAATGTAGAGTTTGTGGAGTTATAACGTAGGCGGTTAGAGCCTGAGGAAAATCAACACTACAGTGGTTAATGATTTGCATGTTTTGCACATGTGCTCATGCATATGTACATGCACTCCTAGTAGCTTAACCTCAGGGTCTGGGTGTTGTCCCTGAGTCTCTCTGTGCTCAAGGCTAGCACTCTACCACTTGAGCCACAGCACCACTTCTGGCTTTTTCTGTTGATGTGGTATTGAGGAATCGTCCCCAAGGCTTCATGCATGCTAGGCAAGCACTCTACCACTAAACCACATTCCCTACCCCTTTTTTAGCTTTTTCTTTTTTTTTTTTTTTTTTTTGTCGGCCGTGGGGCTTGAACTCTGGGCCTGGGCCCTGTCCCTCAGCTTTTCAGCTCAAGGCGAGCGTTCTACCACTTGAGCTACAGCGCCACTCCCTTTTTTAGCTTTTTCTTTCTGGTGCCAGTCCTGGAGCTTGAACTCAGACCCTGTGCACTGTCCCTGAGCTTCTTTTGCTCAAGGCTAGCACTCTACCACTTGAGTCATAACTCTACTTTTTTTTTTCTTTTTTGATTAATTGCAGATAAGAGTTTCATATACTTTCCTGCCTGGGCTGGCTTTGACCAGCAATCCTTGGATTTCAGCCTCCTTAGTTGCTAGGGTTACAGGTGTGAGCCACTAGTGCCTGGGTCGTTAATATTAACTAAGGACATTGAAAAAAACTTAGCATTACCTGGCAAGGGATCGCAACACCCCATTCTTGCTGAAAAATGTTACAGACACCAACCAGTGCGGACTCTAGGCATGTCTTGTCCTAATCGTCCATGTTACTCAGTGCTTCCTTATTGGGCGAGAAAAAAATTGCTCATTATTCTCTGCTGTTTTGTTATTAGAAACCAATATAAACTGTACAAAGTATGAATATCATACAGCGAACACTGAGTTTCTGTAAGCCCCAAAACATAGATTCCAGAAAACACACACACACACACAAACACACAAACACACACACACAAACACAGCAAAACAGACTTCCTCTACTGTAAAGGACAATGAAACAAGCTTAAAGCAATGACCAAAATGTATGGACCATTAACCATAATCTCCTAAACACCATTCTGTGCACTTTACACGGATTTAATCATCCTACCATTATTCACCCTACTTTTAAATGACGATTTTTTTTTTTTTTTGGGTCCGGTCATGGGGCCTGAAGTCTGGGCCAGGGTGCTGTCCCTCAGCTCTTCAGCTCAAGGCTAGCACTCTACCACTTGAGCCACAGCGCCACTTCCGGCTTTTTTCTTTTTGCTTATGTGGTGCTGAGGAATCGAACCCAGGGCCTCTGGCATGCAAGGCATGTGCTCTACCACTGAGCCACCTTCCCAGCCCTAAATGAGGAAATTAGTAAGAATTCAGCCGGGCGCCAGTGGCTCATGCCTGCAATCCTAGCTACTCAGGAGGCTGAGATCTGAGGATTGCGGTTCAAAGCCAGCAGGGGCAGGAAAGTCCGTGAAACTTCTATCTCCAATAAACTACCAGAAAACCGGAAGTGGCACTCTAGCTCAAGTGGTAGAGCGCTCGCCTTGAGCTGAAGAGCTGAGGGACAGTGCTCAGGCCCAGAGTTCAAAGCCCACGACTGACAACAACAACAAAAAATTACTAAAAATTCAAACTACATTAATCCTGCATTTCCAAATTGCCCAACAATTATTTAATTGCTCAGTTTAATTTCAGAAACACTTACTGTCTACTCACTGGCCAAGACACTGTGCTAAGAACTATAGGAGATATTAATGGTTTAAAGACATCTGGCTAGCTCACAGAACTCATAAATATTATAGATCACGACAGACAATTTGCCCCATGAAATTAGAATGTGTTTGTGATTTTAAGTAAGCATCACTATCTCCCAATACAGTGAAATTTGGGAAATTATGTAATCACTTAATCACAATAAAGAATTTGAAAAAAAAATAAAGACATCTGGCTTATCTCAGAAAAATATCTTTGAAAGACAATACCTATTAAGATTTTAAAATGACAACATTGAGCTGGGTACTAGTAGCTCATACCTGTAATGCTAGCTACTCCGGAGGCTGAGATCTAACGACATTTGACGCCACCTTGGGCAGGAAAGTCCATGAGACTCTTATCTCAATCAACCAGCAAAAAAGTTGGAAGTGGAGCTATGGCTCAAGTGGTAGAGTGCCAACCTTGAGCAAAAATTTCAAGGATAACGCCCAGGCCCTGAATTCAAGCCCCAGGATGGAAAAACAGAAGAAAAAGAAAAATAATAATACCTTGGCATCTATAAATGAATACTATCTGTTGGAGAGTAAGCATCATTCTGAACTTTCTAGAAGAAGTTTTTGTGTGTGTGTGTGTTTTAATAAGGGCTATTTTTCATTACCTTAAAATTGTATGAGAAAGTAGAAAACAGCAGAATGGCAAAAAATGTTGAATTTAGGGACTGAAGCATGGTATGCTGAAATCTTCACCTTTCCTAAGAATTCCAGAAAATGGACTATGACCTTTCTCTGCTTATGTAGTGCTGAGGAATCGAACCCAGGGCCTCATGAATGCGAGGCAAGCACTTTACCAGTCAGACACCTTCCCAGCCCCCATGACCCCTTTCTCTACCTCATAGCTTTACAAAAGAAAGGCCTAGGACCTACTGGTTATGAATTATGCTTTATAGCTGTGCATATTAAGTGCCTGTATATTTATTATTAAATAATTCTAAGGTCTAAAATCAGTACACTATTATCATACTGCTTTCTTTCCAATCAACTTGGGTCTTTATTCCTTTTTGTACCTGCAGGGTGTTATAATCTCTTGTGAAGGGGACCATCAGCTCCCAAAGCGATGAGAAAACCACTAATGCTGTGAATTCAAGCTTGTAGTTTGTGGCCATGTGCTCAAACAGCATTGTCAACCCATGGGCTGCAAGGTGCTTCCGCTGGTATTCCTCAGACCCCTACACTGACACAGGCCGAGTCATGGAGAGGGACACGTCCATCACCACCACTGTTGGCATGGTGAACAGAATCCAAGCCAGCCCAGTCAGAATGCAGACAACAAGCTACAAATAGTGAAATGCTGTGGGGGAAAAAAAAGTCAGAAGTGTCACAGAAGGAAAGCAGTATCTTTTCACCATAACTGTAACCACTTTTCCAGAAATAAGGCAAGGTGACCCCTATATAGGTCAATCTGCAGAGAATTCTGGGAGAAAGAAGACAGCAGCCTAATTCACTGGGAAGACCACTCCCAGACATGCTCAAAACACACTATCTACACCTGTGAATCAAGGGCTACCTTATTACCAGTGGGAAAAAGCATTAAAAGTAGGCCTTACTTCCAACTTTCAATTTTTATATAAAGTATGTATTTATTTATATAAAAATATATATATACTTACATATATACATTTATGTATATATACATATATGGGGGGAAGAGAGGGAGATACACACACACACACACACACACATACACACACTCGTGGTTCACAACTGTAATCCTAGCTACTCAGGAGGCTGAGATCTGGGGATCGTGGTTTGAAGCCATCTCAGACAGGAAAGTCTGTGAGACTTTGATCTCCAATTGACTACCAAAAAGCCAGAAGTGGAGCTGTGGCTCCAGTGGTAGAGTACAGTACTAGCTTTGAGTGGGAGGCGGGGGTAGGGAGGGAGCTAAGGGTCAGCACCCAGGCCCGGAGTTTAAGTCTCAATACTGGGGTGCATTAACGCACGCACGCACACGCACGCGGGCGCACACACACACACACACACACACACACACACACATTATAGGTTAATGCTGGTGGCCTGTAATACTAGATACTCAGGAAGCTAAGGTCAGAGGCTTTCATTTTGGAGCCAGTCTGCTCATCAGTCATGAGCTAGCAAGTTGAGGGAAAGCATGAAGCCCTGAATACAAACTCCAATAGCAGCCCCAAAGTAAAATTAAATAAATATGTAAATAAAATGTAATTTGGCTCCCGTGAACTACTATGTTCTAAGTTTCCAACAGCTCCCTTATAATTTGAATTTTAGAGTATCACACATCCGTGCTTGGGCATTGTACCAGCAAGCAGTCTGGCTATTGTTAAACATTTTGAAGTGAATTCCAAAAAACAAACTTAGTGAACATTAACCTTGTGTAATGTTTTTACATCTACCTAAACTCTTCCACAATTGTATATGACACAAGCAATGTGACTATGAAGTTGTACGAAGTATACACATATAGTCCTGTAACCCACTTTCCTTAGTTATGTATTTTTTTTTAGCTGGGTCATTTATTTGTAACTACATGCTATTTCATTGTGTCAACAGACTACAGTTTCTCTCTCCTTTCCTTCCCTTTCCCCTTCTTTCCTTTCCATTGTAGAGCTTGAACTCAGGGCCTGGCGCTGTCCCTGAGCTTTTTCACTCAAGCCTAGAGTTCTACCACTGTGAACCACAGCCACTCTTTTTGTTTTCTGGTAGTTCATTGGAGATGAGTCTCACAGACTTTCCTGCCTGGGCTAGCTTTGAACCTTGATCATGAGATCTCAGCCTCCTGAGTAGTTAGGATTACAAGTGTGAGCCACCGGCGCCAGGCTCCTGGGCTGGCTTTTAACTGCTTTGAACTCTTCAGATCTCAGCCTCCTAAGTAGCTAGGATTATAGGCTTGAGCTACTGGTGCCCGGCACACTATAGTTTCTTAACAGAGGATCAACAAGTTGTATCCACATTAGTGGGTCTCTGTATTTGTTATTTCTTTATTTTTGTGCATAGAATTTTTTTAAATTTTATGAGTGTGCCAGTATTAAGATGGGAATCTCTAGGATTCCATCTGGGTTGGATTTGAGATGTGATCCTCTAGGTCTCAGCCTGCTAAGTAACTAGAATTAAACCTGATTGAAAATAATGTTTTAAACAGGGGGTTAGGAACACAGGTTAAATAGCAAAAGCGTTTTTTTTTTTAAAAAACCTCATAATAGACATAGATATATTTCAAATAGGAGTTCAGATTTCCACATCAATAGACTAACCAGAAAAAAATTCACTCCTGAGAAGTCCCAAATGTTTAACAATTTTGATAGACAAATTTAAATTTGTCTCCCTCATCTCTGCCTATTAAAGTTGTTTGTTCAACATAACCCTGTTAAAAATGTCGTAGCAGCACTGCTGCTTCGCTCTTCAGTCATGTTCTCTGTGTGAGACAGAACACGGTGTTGGATGGATGCTTGAAGAAAAGTGATTGAAGCGTCTCAGCAGCTCTACAGAACACCGTCCAGCTAAGGCCCGCATCAGCAGCTCACGCCGGTCATCAACAGGAGGCAGAGAGCTGAAGATGGTGGGTCGAAGCCAGCCCTGCCAGGAAGCCTAGTCCTTGAGACTTTCTTGTTTTTAATCTCCATTAACCTACCAAATAAACGGGATGTGCAAGTGTGGCTCCAGTGGTAGGGCGCTAGCCTTGAGCTCAGGGACGGGCTCAGGCCCTGAGTTCAAGGCCCCAGAACCAGCGCTAGAACCAAACAAAACCCCTCAGGGGGCGAGCCTCAAAGCGTGGGCCTCGCCTGAGTCTCCCAGCCGCCGCGGAGGCCGCAGCCACCTGTCAGCCTTCTCCCGGGCAGACGTCTGGCTGCAAATGTGCTTCCATACTGACGGCGACGGGAGGTGCCCCCCCACAACCGACAACCAACCTCTAAAATCAGTGAAAAGACCTGGAAGTCCCTCCTGAGGAAAGCGGGGAGAGAGGGGCCCAAAACGGGGCGAAATGGGGCTGTTCACACAGCGCTCGGCAGTCCCGGGTCGCGGAGCGCAGGGACCCCGGGAATGGCGCCCCAGAGCCGGCGCGGGGAGGCCGCAATGGCCGGGCGCTGGGCCTGCGCGGCTCTTCTCACCTCACCCTTCGCCTGTGTCCCTACAACCGATTAAACGCGACCCTCAGGCGGCCGCCGCCGCCGCCTCCTGCACACACCCCAAGCCCATCGCCGGCCACAGTCCGTCCGCTTCAACTTTCCGCCCGGGCGCCACAACCGGAACTATAAGGGCCGGGGGACCCCAGGGAGCCCGGCGCCGTCGGCGTCGCGAGAGGAGCGGAGGCGGCTTCCGGGGCGGGAGAAGCGGGAGGGGCGGGGCTTCAGGCTGGGCGGAGAGGGGCGGGGCTCTGGCTCGGCTGGGCCACTAGGGAGCGCGCCCTCCCCAGCTCCTCTCCGCGGGCCGGGTAGGGGCGGGGTTAGGGGCGGGGCTAGGGGCAGGGTGTTGAGGCCCCACCCTCTCCTCGGACTGCCCTAGGAACACAAAGCCCTCTGGAAGGCCTTAGATAGCAGTTTATTTTATCTAGTGACACAGGAGACCAGAAAATTGGAAGGGGAGCTGTGACTCAAAGTAGAAGAGCATTAGCCTTGGGAAAAAAGAGCTCAGAGACAGTGCCCACATGAGATAAAGCTCCAGGACCAAACAGAGAGACAGACAGACAGAGAAATCCCGCATAACTCCATTCAGAAAATGTATCTGGATAGCTAAGAGGTTTTTCCTATTTTTCACAATTCACTACATAGTACCACATCATCCTGATCACCATTCGGCTAGCTGGAATCTATTTGGTGTTTTATAAATCATTCCACATGCTCCCATAGAACATGAACAGCCACACCCCCACTCACCAACGGGTTATTCTACAGTGAAGCCAATAATATCTCCATACCATCTCCATGGTCAGCTGCATCATCTTTTCAAGTATAGCTGTATATGGTTTCAATAATGCACACATGGACCACCCACAACTAAATCATTTACATAAATATAAAATGCTTTCATTCATGAAGAAAAATATCTGCTTTGCTTTAACAAATATATTCGAAATGGTCCTTATCTCCAGAGCATTTTTGAAGAAAAAAAAAGGCAGAATGGAACCATGAAACTTGGAATATACGACTAGGAATTATCTCATTTAAATAAAAAGAAAGAAACCCTACCTTTAAACATATGGAAAACTCATTAAGCCATTGAGAAATGTGTGTAAACTGCATAGGTTCTTTGGCATGTCGGCACTGGGTCTTTAACTCAGTACCTTAGCATTATTGCTGAGCTTTTCTGCTCAAGGCTAGCATCTACCCATTGAGCCAAACATCACTGGTCCATGAGACACATGGGATTAACATTATCGGGTGTTTCACAAAAGATAGTTACACAAAGTCTCAACAGAGGCTCATCTTAGTGACTCATTTTAGTGTTCAGGTTGAAGTAAGTAGAGATAGAAAAATACTACATGTCCTGATCCCCAGAGAGAAAAGACTCAGCCTTAACATAGCAGCTGTTGTCTGCAGGCTTCTTTGCTGTTTTCTTATGCAGGTAGTGGGTCATGAATTTCCTGCTCTCACTTCACTTGTTCCTGCTCTTGGCTGGTGCTCTGCCACTTGAGCCTGACCCCAGTTCTTTCTTTTTGAGGGTTAATTAGAGATTATAACTTTCTAGTATGGAGAGCAATGAATCATTCAAACCCAGCATTGTGCCTATTTGACAAAATTGATGGCCAGGAGTTGATGTGTGAAGGTAAACTTCATTTTTTTCTTTTTCTTTTCTTTTATTTTATTTGAGAACATACTGTACAGAGGGGTTACAATTACATGGGCAGGATAATGCATACATTTCTTACCAAGCATTGCAGCCTCCTCCTTTGTTTACCCTTCACATCCCTTCCCAGCCTCCCCCCTTCCCCCCATCCAATCCTTCCCACCCTCCCCTGCCCCACACCGACATTGTAAAGCTCGTTCATTTTTTTCTATTTCATATCTGGATCTAATGTATAAGTCTGGCCTTTTTGCTTAAACTAATATATAATTTTCCCATTTCTATACATCTCTTTCCCCTTGGATTAAAGCTACCATTGCACACATTTCAGGTTTAGATGTCATTATCCTTTGTACCAGTAGTGGAGTTTGAACTCAGGGCCTTGAGCTTTTGCTTATTTCCTTGTTCAGTGCTTAAACATACAACTTGAGCCATGCTACAAGTTCCTGACTTTTGCTGACTCAGTGAATAAGTGTCTTTCATATTTGTCTATGGGGGCTGATTTGAACCTCCTTCCTGAGGAAGGACAGGGCAGTCTGGAAGATAGAATAATTGCGATGAGCCAGGACACCTGTCATGTCCTCTGAGTAAGTCCCTCTGAGTAAGTGCTCTTTCTTCTATTGATGATGGCTTTTACTTTTCAGTATACCTAATGCCTATGTATTTTATCAAATACTTTTCCCCCAAAGGAGCTATTTAATGTAATTTTCAGGTGAAATTTACTTACATATTTGCACAAAGCAAAATGGGTGTGCATAAACACTTGAATTCACTGTTACAAGAAAGTCCCCTATAAATTACATTTAGTCTGACATTTGTCTCAATAGACAGAACAACTTTCAAGTACATCTGGTTTGCTATGTCCTAGAGCTTTAGTAGTGGCCTGATCACCTCATGCAGGCATGGGCTGGGTTCCTTGGCCCTCACAGTGCACTGAACCCTTCCCTCTATAGCCAGTAAGTGCTCTTGGACAGCTCCAGGTCACTCTGTCTTTTGCCCTTACTCAGGAACCATGTGTCTGGGACATCAGATTGTACACGTAAAAAAAAGCCAGAGTATTCAACATCCATAAATTTTACAACATAAACATATATCTTTAATAAATTTAGAAGAATAAAAAGAATGCAAATTTTACAACAATCAGGACAAAAAGAAAAAGAGAGATATCCCCAGGGAGAGGGGAGGGAAGCTCTAAGGCTAGGTCGGCTTCTAAGTTGCCTTCAAACATAAATTCTGCCTCAGAATCCTCCAAAGTATCTAGCTCCTCATGAAAGATAGGATTTGCTCCAGCAAAGGCTGGAGAGGCAGATTCTAATTTCTCAGTTGGAGATTGGTTCTGCTGCAGCAGGACAGATTTGTCCAGATGTTCAGTGAGGACAGATTCACTTTCCTGAGCTGCATCTAATGTTGGGACCTCACTCATTGGTTCCCCTGAGCACAGAATGGGGATATTTTCCATCAGCCCCACGAGTGCTACTCCCTCCAGCACGCCAGGAGGAGTGCTGATTTGACCCTTTTTGAGCTGATCTGGGCTGCCTGTGAAAGTCACAGGAAGACAATCACTATTACCTTCTTCTTTCTTTGGGGTCCCTACAAGTTCAGCTCTGTTACATGTGGGGTTCAGAACCACTGTCTTATCCACAGGACTCACAACCTTTTGGGGCCTCACGGCAAATGCATCCAACCCCTCTACATGCACATGCATTGTGTAGTCCAGTGATGGCTCCAGATCCCCATCCATCAACATCCTTGACATCACCGAGGGCTTTTTCCTTGGGAGGTCAGGAGAAGCTGCTCTATGGCGGCCAAAGCCTGAGAAACAGAAAGAGGTAAAGGAGTTTGAGAGTGGATTCCGGATGTTCAGGTGGAGTTCAATTTCCATGAGGCTCTAATGGAGGAGGCTGTACAAGTTTACTTTGGACTGAACACTGATGAGAAGGTAAGGTCTTTCCCAAGAGTGGCTAAGCGCAAGTGCTTTCACCAATAGAACCAACACTGCCTGGCACATAGTACCATAAAAAGACATTCTTACAACCTGGGGGGGAAAAACGGCTCTCAGGCAATTAGGCTCATCCCTAGAGGCCCAGGCGCCATCCCTACTCACAAGCTCTGAGGTGACCACTCAGGGACTTCTTCCTCTGTTTCCTGGTCTCATTCTTCCCGCTCTCCTCCAGCTCATCCAGATGAACATGGAGATTGAGGACCACATCTGAGGAGGGCATGTGGAGCATGGCATAGTGGGTAAGTTCTTTCACCGGGTGTCGGTTCTGGGGCTCTCGGAAATCTGCAGGATAGCAGTCCATCCACATGGTGAAGATGGAACAAAGGCTGCTGTGGGCAGATTGGTGACAAGAAGAGTGAGTGCCTGCCCTCCCTATCATGGGCCTCCCATAGCCCCTTTCTGCAAGGCTGCTATATGCACACTTGCATGCTGGGAAGCAGGAGGAGACTCCTGCAGGCAGAATGATCTTCACCAGCCATGACTAGAACCTTCTGAAAGATAATTCTACAATATTCTCACTGTGATAGGTAACAAGAAAGAACTGATTTTGTACACACAGCCCTCCCTGTCATCCCTGAGAGTCCACAACCACACCACAGCTGTGTCCTCTGCCACCACTCCAACCCCAACCCTCTGCCCCTAGTGGAAAGCACAAGTGATGTGCAAATGAGAAATCTGCACTTTGAATCAGAAGCCTCAAAGACACCATTTTGAACGAAGGGGCCTTTTTTTTGTGCCACAGTCCACTTACTTCTTTATTTGTTCATCTTCCTCAGAGTTACGGCCCAGGAATCTGTACCTATGGGAGGACAAGAGGAAGTCACCTCTCAGCTTCTCCTTTTCTGCCCACACAGGACACATATGGGATGGGCTCATTCCCAGATGGGAATGGAATCTGATACATAAATAAGTGAGATACAGTTCAGTGAAAATTCTGCTAAGAGACTTATGTGCATTGGTCCAAGGTAAATGTGACAGTGCTCATGCCTCTAATCCTAGCTAATCAGGAGCATGAGATCTCAGGTGCACAGTCTGTTCAGACATTAGTCAGTAAAAGTCTAAGGACATTAATTTTTAAAAGGCCAGAATTGCACCTATGGTTCAAATGCTGTAGTGGTAGCTCTGAGCACCAAAGAAACAGCACCAAGACACTGAGTTTAGGTTGAAGGACTGACACACACACAAAAACATAAAAGCTTCAGGGGTTATAAATATGTAAAGCCAACATAATGCCTCCCTGAAATCTCTGAGTTGATTCAGCCTCCAGTTCACCTACCTCCCCACACCCCAGCCTTTCCTGGGTCTACATTATTCACAGACATCCAATTTGTAATGAAACCTTATTTACTCATGGGAAATGTGATTTCCTAGAACCTCACCTAGGGGAGGGCAGAAGTCGTGTGCCATGGGCACATGCCTGTAATCCTAGCCCCTCAGTAAGCAAGCTTCTGAGGTTCCAGGAGATTTTCTGGGAAATGTC